AACCAACTTAGAAATATACAGATATTTATTCTCTCTTTTGTGCAGAGTTTATTTTGGTAACAGTAATTTATTTGATAATGATTTTAATATTTCAATAAATCTATCAAACTCTCGCCTCTCACCGTTTGACCTGTTTGTTTCTGTGTGTGTTTATTTTGAGGATGTTGAAACATCGACGTTAAACATTTCTTCCTGTAACTGTGTGACACTCCTAACACTGCAGTTCAGTGTACCAGTAAAAACAGTGATGAGCAGCTGTGCTGTGTTTTTATATTTGTTAAATATGATTATTAGAAAGTGCAGTTTAGTGAGTGTTGTGGTTGCAGATTGTCTCCTTTCATTTCACCATGAAACTGCAGCTGCACCAATGAAGCTACATGCTGTTTGCTGATTCTGATGCCCCTGCTTGAAGGTAAGATACAGTGTCCTCAAAATGACCCAAAGTCAGAATCAGACCTAATGGGCATCTCTGTCCATTATCGCATCAATCTAAGCTCATCAAAACCAGTCAGGAAACTGTTTGCCTACTTGAGCAACTGTTTTCAGGAAAGTGTTTGCCTACTTGAGCACAGGACAACAAAAACAAAAAAACGAATTGTTAATCATGGGAGCACAAGAAATCGTGGAATCATGAATAAAAGAAAATGTGCACACAAATTGCAAAATGTTCCATCAACAGAATTTTTACTGGGGTTCCATAATACTGAACAAAATTCAAACAAATAAAACGATTACTGTATTTGTGTTATTGCACAACTTATTTCCAATGCTACAGCTGAGAGGCAAGAGGAACTTGCAATTGCATTAGATGGCATAAATAACAGAGTGCAGTGTTGGGTGTTACACAGCTGAAAGTAATCAATTTATTTTTCTTATAAACCTTTGGTGCAGATTGTTATTAAGTCTATGGAAGTGCAAATTAATAAGCTTCTAGGCTTTTGTTAACAAGTAAAACATTTTAACACCATGGTTAAATTTTTTAAGTGCTTTTAAACTCGAGTAGAGAAGTTTGAAACGATGCCTCATGTACATTCATGATATTAGTAAGTGCAAACAGCCAATGAGCTGCTCTGCCGCCAACCAATCAGCTCTCAGTAGCAGTAACGCCACCGTCCTGCTGCCCAAATCCTTTTTGCTGTAGAGAAAAGGAAACATATGAGTATGTTTTCTTTGTTTTTTAGTGAAATACATCTCTCTACTTTCTAACATCAAAGGAAGGTTCTGGGCAAGTGATTAGAAACTATTTTAGTTTTTTGTTTTTAGCCGTTTAGCTCCATTTACTCCCATTCATTGAGGACTTGCTTGCGGGTGCCCTCTGGTGTTTTAAAGTCATGGAAGTGGCCAGGTTCCTCAGTCGGCTTTGGTAATAGGTCCTTTTCATACTCTGATGCTGTAAAGAGGAAACTGCCACATGGGTGACAACACATCTGGTTAGCCTGCCGTCATTTCAAAATATGGAAGTAAGGTGCTTCACACGGTGTCCTCCTTCCTCATATCTCAGGCAGTGATGTAGACTGATTCATGAAAGAATGTACACACACAACATACTAAGAAAAATGAAGGACAAAAAAGGCTGTTCTTCGAAAATTGCATGTCAGCTCAATTAGTTAACCTACTGAGCTAACACAGCTACCCTTAACTAGAAATTGTTGGCTTGTATTTAGAATACAATGTATAATATTTAAATATATTTAATATATTAAAGTTTTTATACATACATTTAGTTCCAATTGTCGTGAATGAGGAGGTGATAGTGAGGGCCAGAGTGTACACATCAATTAAAAAGACTGACATACCTCACAAAGTACAGGTTTGACAGTTACGGCTACAAACAAAGAGAGAGCTGCAGCTGCGGCGTTACTATACAGAGTTGGTTATCAAAGGACATCAGCTACTAGCGCTAACCAACAAATGAGTTCAAATCTGCGGTCGCAGTGCTTTGTTAGTTCAGGCTGCTTTTGCAATATCAGAAAAAACTGCTACACTATGAGCTTCTGATGAAGGTGAAGTCGGTTTCTATGTCATGTACTATTTTAAATGGTGCTGCAGTCACATTCTGGGGCCTACATGCCGTTAAAGGTGACTGCTGCATCATTCAAGGTGGAAAGGAAGTTTGTATGAGAAGCCGACTTCAGCCCTGTAAACATTCATGTTTTGTTGTATGACAGTTAATCTTTTTTTTGATAGTTCATCTTTAAAGTCAGAAAGCTTAAAGGTATTCCAAAAAACAGGGCATCACCTCTGACCACGAATCGACCTGAAGGAGTCTTATAAACATCACTCACTGCAAAGTAACGGCTGCAGACATGAACGCCAGCGTTTACTCTAAAGTTAGGACCCTCTACCCTTTGGAGTGACTGGATCCATTTCTTGATCTTAACATGTGCTTGTTTGGAGATTTATGAAATCCTAGATATGGCTGCTTTTATTTATATTTGTTAGGCACTAAGGAACACAGCAAAACACCTTGAAGCTGGACCGTGCCATTTGTTTTGGTTTGAACGGAAACTAAATTATCTGCTAACAGAAACCGACCCAGAAATGTGAAAGTAGCCTATAGTGTACCTACTACAAAAGAGAAGAAAGAGGCAGAGCTGTAGACAGCAGTGGTCTGTGAGGCCATTAAATACTTTGTGACATGTGGACGGAGAATTCTTTTCAATTATATTACCAGTGAGAGAAACTAATTGTGTCTCCTTTGAACTATTTGCCAAACCCCCCCTGATTTCCGATGGTACTGATCTGTTTCGTCCATATCTGTAAGCTTTCAGAGAACATGCACAAATACAAATGACATGCACGCAGAGTACAGACAGAAAGCTACGGAGCCCCACTGGGGACATCCTGTATGGATAAAAATAATGTGTGGCTTTATTAACGTGTGGGAATGAGATCCTAATGCATGGCCACAACTTAGTAAGGCATGGGAATGAGATCAGGGCTTACTAAGTCGTGGCCATGCATTATTTTTATTTATACAGGATGTAACCCACGGGGCCCTGTAGAAGCCTCCATCTGTACTGCATACATCTTTTTTAACCCTGAAAAAGAGGAAGTGCTTAACCCTCCTAGGCTGTATACACCTGCTGCCCCCTCATGGTAAAAAATGAGAAATACCAAAATCATTTAAAATCCCACATTAATAATGCCCTTTTACACTAAAGCAACACATCATTACTTAGACTCAACCTAATGTCAAAATGCTAAGAAGTTGACTCCTGCGTTTTGTAACTGATGTGTCCATTGTGTCTGTCTATTTATTGTAGGTCTGTTACAAGTACTGCATAATCACCTGATCACAATTATTCAAGCTCAGCTGAGTGTTTTTCCACAGTTGGCTCTCACAGTCTGGAGATATAACATTTAGAGGGCAGTAAATAAGTAAGCTTTGTATATTTGAGCTGTGTCTGTCATCACTTCGAAGCTACTAAGTATCAACAGCTAAGAAGTAATATATCTAATCAATTTGGCCACTGTAGGCTTGTACTTTAATAGCTGCAAACAATAAACAAAAAAAGACAAAACGATTTCCATATAAACAGTTGTTAATCACAATTGTTTATATGGAAATTAATCATCAGCTAAAGTGTCGTGATTGTGACAGGCCTAATTCATTGTGAGGGGGAAAGACAGAGTGAGAATCAGAGGTGTGGCAGAGGCAACAGTTAAAAAATGAAATAATTGCATATTTCACAATATGCATTGGAGATGCATACATAATAATGCCTTAATAACATGTTTGTTTTGTATTTGTGAAGATTGTCACCTTTACATTGTATCACATATTACAGCCTGTATGTATCTCAGGTAATGTTAAACCTGTATTTGCTCAAAACCTAAGTTGTTAATGAGATGTTACAATGAATGTATTACAATTAGAAATCTATGAAATGACTAAAAAATAAAATGACTAAAAAGTGGCCAATCAGTGTTGTCCTTACTCTTCTTGTTGCAGTGTGAATGTTACACCCTCTAGTGGTCCAAGGTGGAGAACAATAAATTCAAAAGAGATAAAGAAAGATGTTAAGAATAAAACACCTACAGCAAACAAACATTTCTTTATCAAATCTTATATATAATGTAATGATTTTGTAATATCTTTACAGGGGAAGAACAATGCAATGGGCAGTGCATCCACTATTGTGTTTAATCAAGAGAGTTTTGACACTGATCGCTCCAGTTTGGTCAACTGTCTTATTTCTTCTAGCATACTAAACATCTATCACTACCTAAAAAGGAAAAAGGACATAGACACTGACCACAGTGACAACAAAATTGTCCATAAACATGCTTCCAGACATGCAAGTAGAAGCATTTGCAATGGCCCTCACAGTCCCCTGATTCAGCATCTTTGAAAAGCAGGTAGATTTTTAATATGTTGTTCACGCAAGATGGCTATAGAACTAGAAGCATTCTGAAAGAAAAGTGGGTGAAAATTCCTAAAACAAGAACAGAGACAGCTGGTTAAAAAAAGCTGTGATACTGAGTGTTACTAGTACCAATGTAACTTTTACACATGCATCAATTAATGTATTTTTTCTTTTTTTTTAAAGTTTACTTCAAAAATCAACCTACAAATATGTAGTTTGGACAGGGTGCCTAAACTATTGCATTTAACTGTAACAATGCATCCTTGTCACTCATCATTCTTTGCTAGAATGTATATGATATGGGCCTTTAATCCAGAGAAGTAAACCTTTACAGAAAAGGGGTAATAGCTAGGCATTTTCACATTATTAATATATTACAAAAATAAATACAATAAATAGGCAATGTGGTCATTTTATTATGCATAGATGATGTTAAACAAAGCATATTATCACTGGTTCAACATATGTTCTACCTTGTTTCAGAGGTCAGTTTAAAGCAGGCTCAGTCGAGGTGATTTTAAAAGATGACATTTATTTATTTACTAAGCCAATTATATATGCATTTTATTTTTTTTATTACTTTATTTAAACAACAGCCTTTTTCCCCACAGATGATAAAACACCCCCCTTTCCACCATAGGTTCTACCACATTTTGGTAATTGTAATCCTACAAAAGCTAATTAAAATAAGTGCTTAAATAGAGCAAAAAAAAAGTAAAACACTGTGTTATAATACGTTTACATAGTACATATTTGATTCAAGCTTTCAATTGTTTTATTTTGCAGGTGAGAATTTTTTTTTTGGGATCTTCATCTTTCTGTAGACTTTTGATATCCCACATTTCTCATCATAGATTAGATCAGCGTGTACGTAGCAGTTGCAAAACACATTGTACCATTAGAAAGACTATTAGGCTTACCCTGGAGATGATTTCAGTCGCTAATATATTTCATTAGAACTCGAATATATCATAGTCTTCAGTTAATTCCTCTTCTGCCCATTCAGGTTCCTGAGCATCTGGTTGATCTTCATTTAAGTCAAACCTGTAATCATAAGTGTCTGCTTCACTCTCACTGTCTGTCTTGTAACACCCATCCAGCTGTGAACAAAAGCCTCCACAGAGTGATAGCTTCACCATGTCGTTGCACTGTAGATAAGTGTGCGGTGTCCAGTTTTCTTCTGTGCATCTGGCAGCTGAGTTGCTGCATCTCAGTCTTCAATAATGAACAGGAAACATTAATATTAGTATCAATATCCATTCGTGCCCTCAAACACAACCGCCACTCAGTGTCATCATCATCAGCATTAAACAGTGCTGTATGTTTATTTGGCACATTGAACATGTTTTGAAATGTATCAGTGAGATCAATGGGTAGTTAAAAGGAGAAAGAACAAACCCTTTCAGAACCACAACGCAGTCACGATGCTTCCACTTCTTCTTTATTTGTAAGATCGCATCCTCCATTAACATGTGCAAGGTAGTCACACTGAAACACAAGACAGCTATTGTTTTAGTCTTTACAGCACATAATGCTGTATTTCTTATTCCCGGTTCTGGAGTACGACTCCCTAATCAGCTCATTAACAAAGCAGCAAGAAAAATACTGAACAACGCAGGCCAGGGGTTCTCCAAGACCAGGACGGAGAATCGCTTCATCATGCAATCATTACAAGCTACAAAATCAGACCTCATAAATGTAGTGAGTAAGAGGTGCTAATAACACTGTACTTTATGATACAAAGTTTTAAAATTGAAGTATCTGTTACAGTTACTTTGCACATGCATGACTCAAAGACATCAACATGAAACCTATTCTTACCAGATTTTGTTAAGACTGGGACAGGAGCTAAAGGAGAGGATCCTGGTAGCCCAGCTCTCAGTCAGGTTGCCTATTTCCAGCTTCAGTTTCTGAAGACCAGGAATACCATGGAGGAAAGAGACCAGCTCATTTATTCCCACATCATACTCATGTGATCTACAGTAAAAGAAGAAAGGAAACATTTATTATTAGCAATGAAAACTTGAAATGTAGTAAAGAAAAACTGACAACTTTATAAAAAGGTGTTTATATAGAAGTGACTGCATATAGTCGCATGCAAAAGCTTGAACACCCTTGGTCAAAGGACATATTTTGTTACTTTTCTAAGTGAAAATAAGTTAATATCTCCACTACAGAGAACACACTAAAATAAAGCATTTTTCTGCAAAAGTTAGGGCACAAATTTACATTATTTGTCAAGTTTAACATATTGGGAAAAAAAAATAAATAAAAAATATAAAATGAAGAAAATGTCAAACGTTTGCACAGGCCATTTTATGTTTTATTTCTTTTTCAATATGGCAAATTAAGCAAAGAAACAGTTATTGTGCATTAAAATGTGTAGAAGTGGAGGATGTGTTAACTTGTAATTTGACCAGCAGCAGCCAAACTTTTCACACAACTGTAACTACAAGTACAAAGACTACTCTTACTTGTCATTTAACAAGTTGAGACATCGCATTCTGTGAAGAAGGTCAGGTCCATTGATGTTGAGGATCTCAGAATGTGGTACCGTGAAGGAAATGAGTGAGGGCGTGGTTTCTGTGTAGTTTGCCTTCTGGATTTTAACACTGACCCTTAAAAAAACACAGAAAGTAACCAGAGACTGGCTGAAATGTGGTAATTAGAAAAAAGTAAAACCATTCAGTGGTGCTCAATGCTACTGCGTGCAGATAATGTTTTGTGCACTAGAGTTTGAACAGGGGAGGGGTTGTGTGAATACCCTCACACAAGGGTAAACTTAAGCTTACAACTAAGTTGCAAATAAATCTTAAACCAAAACTTTGCTTGTTTGCAAAAAGTGATTTCAGAGCCACTCGGTTCTACCTGATGGAAATTGTTTACCTTTAGTGTTTTGTGCTTATGATAATTTTAATAGACATCAGCGTCATTAATTAATAACATTCTATTAAAAGACTGGTTTACCAAGCGTGACACTGAAGTATTTTCACCTAAAATCAGTTGATAAAGCAAAAGTCTTGTTACAAAAATTCTAACAGGACATTAGAGCCATAATTAGTCTTTTAGTACTTTTACTTTCGATACTTAAGTACATTTGAAGGCAAATACATTTGTACTTTTACTCAAGTGGTGGTCTAAAGTGAGGACTTCTACATTTACTGGAGTAACATTTTACCTTGGGTATCTACTTTAACTCAAGTACATGATTTCTGTACTTCATCCACCACTGGTAGTGGACATGTGTGATATGTTTGAGCATGAGTGATATGTTTAGCATTGGTATTATACTGGACCTCTGCTTGGGGGACTGTGGGAGCAGTGGGGTGTAATTTCCCTTAAAGTGTTAAGCAATTGTTTTTATGAAACATATTAACAGAATAATAATGAAGGAAGTTGCCAACCAGTAACAATGACGAACGGTATGAAAAAAATAGGTTTTCCCACTTGCCTTACCGAGATGTATTGTCAATGAATTTGTTACTTTTCAATGTACTGTAACAGAATACACTGTTCTGAATGTATCCAGTATTCAGCCATCACTACTTTTTTCAAAGCATTTTGTCTAATCTTGCATATAATCTAGGGCACTGAGCTGCATTATTCCAGTTTAAAGGGGACCTGTTATGCTTTTCTGTTTTTTCCTTTTCCTTTAGTGTGTTATGTAGCTTTTTGTGCATGTAAATGGTCTGCAAAGTCACAAAGACCAAAATGCACACCAGAAGAAGAAACTCTCTCCCACAGAAACCACTTTTCTCAGCTCATTGGAATTCCAGCCCTTTTCTCTGCTACAAGGTGATGGCACCCCGTAACGTCTCCTCATTGCTGCCTTCCAGCAAGCTTGGCACACAATGCACAGAACGATAAAAGAGAACTTATCACTCAAAAACACACTGCTCCAGTCTAGCTTGGATCAGTTCTACCAACTTGTTCTACCTTACCGACCAATCAGAGCACACTTGGCTCATCGGGAGGCGGGGCTTAAAGGCATAGGAGCTCTAACAGAGCGTTTCAGGCAGAGGGTGAATGGGGATGTATGAGAAAAATATTGTGTTTTGGGAAAACTGAAGCATGTAAACCTATTCTAGTAGACCCCAAAAAATAAAACACTGAAAATGAGCATAATAGGTCCCCTTTTAAACTGGAGAACGATAAAGCTTGAGCACATCTCAAACTGCAGAGATCATTTTGATTTTCAAGCCAGCAGCAGCCATTAACACAGAGAAAATACATGTTCTTAGCAGCCGTGACCTTAGACTGTTCAAGAACATCTGATGAGTAATGTTCACACAAGGCATGTCGTGAAACAACCAGTATATAGCAAGGAATTTTACGCTTTACCCAGCAAACTGAATTGTATTTTTTTTTACTTCTTAGGGGACCCACCAAGCTTGCCTGCTGATGACTAAATCAATTTTTACTATACAATAATAGATTTGAATTAATTAACTAAAAGAGTATAAAAAACATTTGTATTGATACAGAAATGCTGTTAAATGACTCCTGTCCTGTAATGCTTGTGGAAAAAACTACAAGGATAAACCTTAAACTAAATTACTGTGAAAACAGAATCTATAAAATATAAGTCCCTTCTTAGTCAGACTTTCCACCAGGGGACCACCAAGACCTCCGCCAGAATTCAAATCCTGTTGCTCACCACTACATGCCAAGTATTTGTATATTTCATTTCATTTCATTCATAAGAAGGAAGAGAAGAAGCCCAAAAAATGCAACTACATGCTATTTTGAAAGAAGTTAGCGTTGTCAAAGCAAATGATGTGATTACTCTGACTGAAGAATTCTGAAAAGACTGCTGCTGATTGCAAAAAAGGGTGGCTACAGTAAACCTATAAAAGTAATGAGCTAGCTCTGTTGTGACTCACTGTAGTGCTACTGCGATTGTGGTCATCACTGCTTAAAATATGAAAATATGTGGCAGCAGCAGAAACAAATGTCATATAAAAGGACAGAAAACTGATTCTTTAGAGGAGATTATTATTTTAGAGTGAACATAATTGGCTAGGAATCTGACAGTATACTTGATAGTTAACTGGTAAGGTCAAACACAAGAAACAAAGACTGATTCAAAAGGCTTACGTGGAGTCTGTGTGGTTTCTTTTAACAGTGAAAGAGGAGCAGCCACTGTCCATGGTGTCCTTCTCCAGCAGCAGGCTTTTGGAAAGAATACATAATACATATGATCATATTATTTAGTAATATGGCTTCTCAACCTGAAGCACTAGCATCGGACTATACAATAGCATGAAAGAGCTAACTTATGTACAAACACACAATCTTGTGCTTGAGAGGGGAACGGAAAACAGGACTTTTTCTTACCAGATATTATCAATATCATCATTTACATAACAGAGAAGAAGGACGTAGGAAGCCCAGCTTTCAATTAGACTGTGTATGCCCAATTCTACCTTCTTCAGACCAGGCACACAGTACAGGAAACGCAGCATGTCGTTCAGCTTTTCATCATAATCTGTGGACCTACAGTTAGAAAACAACGAACTTCATTTAATATCATTTTTGTTTAGAATTAGAAGTTGATTTGAAAATAAAAAGTAGCAACACGTTGTGTGACCATAAATTCAGTTTTACAAATATTCAAACAAAAAGGACAGGCACTAATCTTATCCGACAAGATGTAGGTTCATGTTTTTGAATCTTTTTTAGTTTTACTGGTGCCTTTTTTTTGGTCTCCCGAAGTTGCAAAGATAAGGGATTGTGATAGTTTATGTTTAGAGCAGCTTCATACTAGCTAGTGTAAAGGTGCTATATGCTTATGGAGCACTAAAGTTTTACTTTTTAGGCATGTGTTCTGGTGGGCCTATGCTTGACCCTAGATTGGTTGGCTGCTATGGCTGCTTTGTGGTGAAGGCCTGCAAGGTTATACTGTGTACCACTGAGGGTTCAGAGCTGCTGTTTTCAACTGAATAAGGGTACCCCCATCATAAGTAACTGTTAAATCAAGTTATTTTTAGTTTATGTAAAATATAATTGTGTAGTATGATTTTTTCTTTTTGTCCAAAGACAGGGTCTCAAGTCATCCCGCTGTTTTGCCTGTGTTTTTTCCTTTCTTCTTGTTTAGTGAACTTTTTTTTGTTCAAGATAAGTTTTTAGGTTCTATGTGTTGTTTCATCTTGAGGTTGTATATGAACTATATAACTTTATCTAGTTGGATTTTTCTTTATTTAAGATTTCTTTTCTCTTATTTTTCTTTCAGATTGGGCTAGGCCAGGTGGTCAGTGGCTTGTGGCGGGTGGCTGTAACTGTAGTTCATTATTGCACTGTGTTGTGCAATTGTGAAGTTGGTTAGTGTAGTTTTTTCTGCTTTTAATAAAAGAATAAAGTTGATTGTACTTTTTTATGAGGTTATACCTTTTTCCAGTTTTGATGTTTAAAGCAGGACATACTGTGTTATGGAAATTTTAAGCTTGAGGAAAGATTGTATCTTATGTTCTTTGTTGTAAATAATTTATTTTGTCTTTTTGAAAGGTGTACTGGTGTATTGTCAAAATAAATATGATTTTGTTTTTTATTTTGAGAGGCACATCCTTGTTTCATATTTAAAATATATATATATATATATATATATATATATATATATATATATATATATATATATATATATATAAAGAATCTAGTGCAAATTTATCTCAGAGCATCACCTTGCACATAACTAATCAGCTCAGTTAAGTGGTTGTGCTAAAGAGAGAAAGCTCTAAAATTTGCTGGCAGTGGGCTTCCAGGACCAGGTTTGCGAAACTCTACTATAGGGGATGTCAGAACTTATTCACAGTACTTAGGGCAAGGTGTTACCCCAGGACAAATAAGACATATTCACATAATGAACTTAACGGTGTGTTCTTACATCTCGTTTAACCCTTTTGTGTCGAAGTATGACTGAAAGAATCTTCTCCAGTCA